CGGTCACCCAGCGCGCTGCGCCCGCGGAAGGAGTTCAGGTCTTCGTGAAGAGGCAGGACGTTTTATTACTATCTTTTTAGGCAGTTGGGTACCGGTAGAGCAGATCTAAATGAGAGGCTACAGAGAGGACTTGTGACAGTGACACCGACGACTGGGAAAGCGTGTGGAGGGCAATGCCTGCAGTGAGCTGCAGCCCAGACCAGCGCGTGGAGGCTCTTCTCCGAGAAGGCAGGGGCTTTAGGGGGATAATCTCTGTAAACTGAGGTCTTCCTGGGGCTGCCCAAGCGAGTAATTATTTTCAGTGTTGATGGGCTGCAGGGAGAAGAGAAGGCAGGGTCTAAATTACTCGTATTCAGACCTCCTTAATTCTTTGAAAAGTGGGTGTTTAAAGAAGACCATTTGGGTGCCAAATGCGGTGTGTGTGTGTGTGTGTGCGTGCGCTGGAGGTGGGGATGTCTTTTTAAAGTCATACTTTTAAAAAGGAAGGGCATGTGCAAGGCATCCCCTGCCTGGCTCTCCTCTTTCCCCCCCAGACCTGCAATAACAGCAAGGGCATACCGTGCATCTTATAATGAAACATGAAAAGTTCATTCCGTTTTCCACTGGTTAACTGATTTGTTCATTTATTTGATGTATCTAGTCATCTGCTGGGTAAGAAATGGTTCCATGAACTGTCATTAGGAGGATTTGACTGCGTTCTGGAGTTTCACTGTAATCCACTTAGAACTTACTCTGGTATGAGATGGACGAAAATCCTTGTACCCGATTTCTCCAAGACATCCTCAAACCGCTTCAAAACCCTTTTAGTACTCTTACCTTCCCTGCACAAAGTTTTGGGTGTGTGTGTGTTTTTTTAGGAAACAATGTGATTTTTTCATACATCTAAAACATACCCCTCATGCCTATGAAATGTTTACACATGCTGAGAAATTAATTTATTTTGCAAGTTAAAACGAACTGAAGAAGGAACACTAGATTTGTCAGGGGGAATCAGCGCTAACACTTATCAGCTGCAACAAATCAACGTTTGGTGGTTTTCTGAGGTGAGTGAAAGTAAGAGACGCTGCTGCAAAGCTTGTTAGGAATACAGCACATGACCCCGGTGACATGGAGTCTGTATTGTCACCTGATAGATTGGAGCACAAAGCAAATTAGTGGGAATAATTTGAACATTTGTCAGTGATTTGCTTTTTAGCTGGCATGGGATGGGGGGAGGAAGGAATTCTGAATGTGGGTGATACAGTTTGAAAGGTATGCGTCCATGTTTTTCTCACACGTCATTTTTGTTAATATAAGCTACACACAGGGCATGCAGTTGTTTATGTTTAGCCTGTGGAAGGCGAGGCAGGGGTTTTGAAAAGGTTGGGAAACACTTATTAGGTTACTCAAGGGAAAACAGGAAGATTGGCAGGCTTAGTTCATTTTGAAGGAAGCAACGTATCTCAGTGACCTACAGGACAGGGTTTTAGTCTCGGATTTGATAAAAGCCCACTGGTGTTGCTTTCAAAGCAACAACAAAACCATTTCCTCTCCATTGGTTCTGTCCCCTGGGTCAAGGATGGGATGGATGGAGAGTGAATAAGAGAGATTAGAGCCCGACCTGCATGCCTAAGCAGCCGTGTCCTTCGAGCAGGATCTGTGTCACACTGTGTGACTGTAAGAGCCTTCCTGTGAAGAAGAGTCGGAGCGCCTTCCCTGGGGCTCCTGCTGTGAGATAGAGCTGAGCAACACTGCCACAGGTCAGGGCATGGGTGAGATCATCTGATAGAGAGGCACTGGGGGCTAAGGAGAGCCAGGAAATGTCTAACACGGGAAGGCTCTGCTGCTTGCCTCTGGAGTCTGGAGGGGGCATTTCCAGGCAGAGCTGCCTCACTTATTGGCTAACCTGGCTGGGCTTTAAATGGCTTCCAGAAGACCTGCCTTTCACAAATGAGTCGCTTGCGGAGTTTCCGTGGTTCAGGTTATCGGTGTCAGTTATGCTTATAATGTTCTCTAGAAGAAAAAGGCTCACAAAGACGCAAATCTAGGCTGCCTTGGCTCCTGTCGCTCACGAGCTTCCAGAAAACAAGTTGTGTGGTCCCTGCCAGTAGATGGCACTGCTGCCTCTGGGAATTCCTGGAGGAGCTGAAACACCGGGCTGGCCAACCAGCAGTGTGTAGCCTGCAGTCTAGAAGATTTTGAAAGGCTGTGTCAGATCTTAGTCAAAGAGAATCCTTAAAAAAAAAAAAAAAAAAGTTCTGAAAGCCAGAACTATTTATATAAGGTAGGAATTATGTGTGTTGCGGGGAATTGAGGAATGGGTGTGATTACTGGTTGTATGTGTGTGTCCTAGGAGAGAAGGCAGAGGGTAAACTGACAAGCATCCTACGTAGCACAGGTTTTGAAAGCATGTGGCAGACATCTTGTTGGTTAATTGAATGAGGGTGAAATCACGATTAGATAAAAACTCCCAACAATTTCATAGTTACTAATTCTTTGCATGTAAAACTAGTCTGCACACATGGACTGTAGAAATATACACATGACTTTTAAACCTGATCAATATCAACGATCATTTACATGCTCTGAAGATAGTGGTGAGGGTGTTAGTAAAAATAATGCTGGTTATGTAGTTACTGTACTTCGTGACTGTCCACAGGAGGTAGGTCAAAGTTATTCTGAATCAGTTTCTTCTTAAAATACTTGTTAGGGATTTTTAAGGTTTAGATTTTCTTAGCTAATGCTGTCCTTTCAGGATTGCATTAACAATCCAAAATCTTGAACTTCGGTTTTATTGACCCTATTAGCCAGAGTTCATTCATCCATTCCCTTCTTTTGAAGAAGTTATTCTTTATTCTGTGTAATGGATTGTTCTTTGAAATGGAGTTTGTAGCCATGGTATTTGAGGGAGGTGGGAAGTGTTGCCAGTGACGCTATAGTGTATACGAGGGCCTCAGCTTTGACCCTATCCCAGGGATAGGGCACTGCTGCTGGGTGTCATCACCCTAGTCACCTGCTTCCTCGTGCAGTTCTCCTCCCATAGCTCAGCTTATTTGAGGTTTATTTCTGTCTCTCATCAAGTGAACTGATGAGCTGGTTTGTACTACCAATGCCTAATCCTAAAATGCTGCCTGTGCTAGATGGCAGCAGTCACAAGTCGATTAGTGTTGCCTCATTATGTGACCTCAAGTCAATCTTGTTGCCTTTCTGAACCTGTTTTCTCACCTGCTCGCTGGGATTAGTGAGTTGGCACGTGGCTCTTAAAATTTCTTCCGAGTCTAAAATTCTGTGGCTAGGTGATTCTCATCAGGTATTTCTGAAGCCTCTGAAAAATTCTCATCTAGAAGATATTTTCATACTGTGAGCCTAGGACAAAAAGAAATCTCACTAATATTTCTTCTTAGAGAAATGATTGTCTGTTGCCTCAGAATCCTAATAATTCAGAGTTGGAAGAAATCCTAGAGATGGTTTAACTCAACCTTCTCATTTGCTAGACAGGGACTTTCAACTTAGAGCTGAGTGACTTGACCAAGCTAATAGAGCTAGTTATAATGGCAGAGAACTGGTTAGAGAATTAGGACCAAGCAAAGACTCATCTCAGTCTTCCCTTCTCCAGTGCTGCCTTTCTTCTCCTGCCATCAGTACACAGAATATGCTGTGTGTATAGGGCTGGAGCCAATGAATTCTGAGTACTTAATGTAGGCTTTTAAAGCCACAGCACAAATAATGTTGAGTTTGGGTAGAAATTCAAGGTCAGTCTTCTCTCTGTACCTCATTCTTTTCTTCACTGACTGGTCATGAGCAGGATTCTTTTCTATGCATCGTTGGGTTTTTAAAACTTTTCTGTATAAAATTTCCTGTAAAAACTTTCATTATCCAAAAAGAGTCATTCCCCAATCAGATGTTCTTAAATTGGGTCCATGGACCCTCTGAAGGCTGTGTGGATAGAAGAGTATCTCCGTATAATTGACTTCCTTTGTAATCATATATGTTTTCTCTGTACATTTAACGAATCACTTTGAGGAGGTCCTTAGACTTCAACAGGTTGCCAAAGGGGCCCAAGGCCCAAAAATGACATAAAAATTCTACAGTAGGTTCTGGAAAATTGCCAGGATGGGAGAATTTTTGAGGTGCTAAAGAAATTATGGTAAAAGAGGGTTTGGGGATGGAGTACAGAAGTAAGCTATCGGCCTTCTTAGAACATTTTACCTTCATTAAACTGTATAAAATTGCTCACTAAATGAAGATGCTAACAATAGCATTTTACTCATCTTAAATTGATAGTGGTTATGCAAGTATTGATGTCCATGTATCATTCCTTGCTCAATAAGTACTTCCTCCTCATTTCCCAAAACACTTTCCCATGTACATTGCTTTATTTGAGATGACATGCATACTAAGAGCCTCCCTTCTTTCCAGATAAGTCAGTGCCTTTCTGAGATGACTTGGAGTTTTTTACTCCAGTCTTCACTTCTGAGGCCCTCAACATTCTACTTTCTAGGACTCACCATGAGCTCAGAGATGCAAAATAATTTATAGGCCAGGGATAAAAAATCTCCAGGTTCCTTTATTATCTCCCGGGTTTACCACAGAAAACACTGCTCCTTCTTGGCTACTTATTTTAATTTTCCTTTCTGTTCAAATCCCAGGTTCTCTCTTTTTCACATTTTTCCCAAATAGGAGTGACTCAGAGTTTGTGTATATGGGAAATAAAAATTCATGTTTTTCCCAGAATGTATACAGAAGTTAATTTTGTGTCCATTTTGGACAGGTGAGTCATAACTTTGGAGATCACTACATTTTGAAGATCATCTGCTTGAAAATCTCTTGATGCCTGTCCTGTGGCACTTTGTTGACATTTGGTACCATGGTGACACATGCTGGTGAATGCCACCTTCTGGTACCTTTATTAGGTATGGACCAGAGTGGTATTTGTTCTTGTTTTAGAAGAATAGCCCTGGCCAAGTATCTCAGTTGATTAGAGCATTGTCCCAATATGCCAAGGTTGTGGGTTCAATCCCCAGTCAGGGCACTTATAAGAATCAACCAATGAATGCATAAAGAAATGGAACAACAGCAAAAATCTGTTTTTCTCTCTCCCTGTCTCTCTCCCTCTCTCTACCTTCCTCTCTCTCTCTCTCAAGTCAATAAAAGTTTAAAAAAAAAAAGAAAAAGAATAAAAATTACCCTTTTTCAGCAGGTTGTCAGTTGAGCTTATGTAATAACGGAACAAAACTCAAATTTATGAATTCTGGTCCCAGTACACTGAGTTATTGTGAGATTTGTAATGCATCATTGACTTCCCTGAGTTTGCTGCCTTGTCTGGAAAATATAAGGAGAGAGCAGTGATCACTGAAATTCTTTCCTATTCTACGTCCTATGACTCTGAACTTCTCCTTGGTTCCTAGATTAAACATGTCCTAAATATACTGGCTATACTGGCTAGTTGGGAATTCATTTATATTCATAGTTGGTGCCAGGATAATACTTCTTTATATCTGGAAATCACTTTGTGGTTTACAAACATGTTCTCTAATTCTTCATCTCTTTTCTACTTAAAGTGTGATCAGAGAACAGCATTGGTATCATCTGGGAGCTTGTTAGAAATGTAGAATCTCAGGCCTCCCCCAGGACCTACTGAATCAGAATCTGCATTCTGTCAAGATGCCCAGGTGCTCTGCATGCACAATAAAGTCTAAAGAGTGCCATATCTCATTTTGGAGTCTCACCCTGATCCCCTGGGTCAATGAGGGAAGCAGGGTATTTTAGAGATAAGAAAATCAGGAAACAATGACTCAGTTGTTAAGTAAGTAATCGGGGCTACTGTGCTAGCGTCTCACCCAGAACTGCCACTTCTTGGGGTTGGGCTGGAGTCAAGCGTGTATAATAGAGACTAATTACTAGCTGCCCAGGAGCCCACAGGTTTAGTTGTGGTCATGTGCCTGAGTTCTAGCCGACAGAATGTAAGTAGATGTGCAAAAGTGTTGCGATCCACTTCTAGGCAAAAACAGAAAGAGAACAACATGTGAGTTCCTCCATGCTGTTTTATACTCCTAGCAGGCTGGAGTGGAGAGGACCCCTAGGGCAAGCTTGAAAATCATGTTTAGAAGATGGCAGGACTTTTGCCAGTCTAGGTGCCTAGATCACTGATCAGGGAGGGTCACTCCATTGACTGACCTGTTCACTTGCCCAACATGTGTACAGGAACCAGAAATAAAATTTTATTGAATTTGAGCCATTACATATGTTTGAGTCTATGTTAAGCACTCAGCCTACTTGAACAAATTCACTTGAGCAATGGCTTGGGACTTGAAGTTATTGATCTTTTGGTCTAATGCATTCATTCATTTTTTTTGTCTTTGGCAGTTGGTGATCAAGCAGTCGTCGTCCAAAATGCAGAAGTGAGTGGTGAAAAGCAGCAGAGCTGATGGGTCATGAGGATGTAAGTGTGTTTGAAGGCTCTCACACCCTCCACTCCAGGGTAAGTCAAAGGCATTTTCTGCCATTATTTCTCTGGTTTTACTAAGTGATAAAGGCTCTTGTCTCAACAGTTTCTTGGAGTCGGTGCAGTGGGGTGCCCTGCCATGGAACATTCTCAAAACCTTTATTGATTCAATTCATAGACACAGTGAAAATCAACAGTTATGAAGATAAAACCATAATCAGGGCAATGGGATGGTATTTGTGCACAGAAATATTTCAACACAAGAATTTTTAGTGAGTTTGTATGGGATGTGATATACACGCTTGGGGAGGTGGTGGTTTGGCCCTTCCTGAGAAGGGAACTAGGTCTTACTCTTGTTCTTGTAGCCACGTCACATTGTTAGCTCTGCTGGCTCATACTCCCCTCTCTTAGGATCCTCCCCCTTCATGGATCACTTCTTAACTTGTCTTTCATCAGTCACTTTTTCCCAGGAGGAGAGACAGCTCACCAGGGAGCTGATGATTCCAGATTTGGTAGATAATGGCACTAGCAAAACACGTGGTTCTGCCCATCCGTTTTATTTTATCCAGTGTCACTGGAAGTCACACGTCCACTCATTCCCCTTCTATCTGCAGTGCCTGGGGCTATGGATGTGGGTGTTGGGACCATTATAACCAAAGCTGGCTTTGCATTTTCATTTGTGCTGAAGACTTTTGAGACTAGAAAGAGAAATTTGCTGTTTGGTATGTCTTCAGAGTCTAGGTGGAGGTCCAGAAAGGAGGGATGGAAAGGGTATCACATCCTTTCTGAGCTCTCCGCCTTCTGGTGCTTAAACTAAAACCAGAGAAAACTATAATTAAGACAAGTCTAAGTGGAGATAAGGATGGTTGGGAAATAAGGACAGGGTTAAAAAGAAGTACTCAGCTGAAAAACTGGATGGAGGGTTGTTTAAGCAGCTTAGTTCAGTACTGTGGAGCCCTTGTCAGATAATGTCCCATTACCCAGACTCAGACAGAGGGCACCCAGAAAGGCTGTTGCCCTTTGGTGCTTCACATGGCTCAGTAATGAGTACAATTTACTGAACAAAATAGACAATTAGGGGCTGTAGCGCTCTGGAGATTCCCATACATCATTACTGCTCTGGAGTGATACACATGCTCAGAGATAAGCAAAGCAGGGAGAAGGCAGCTGCAAAGCCCATCTGAAGAATCTAGGTAAGCAACCAGACACAGACCTTAGCTCAGGGCCTGGAGGTTTCTAATGAAAGGACCTGGTCTTTTCTAGGTTTTCTCCTGAGAGGAAAGCAGCTGGACTTTGCCATCTTTCCTCATTTCCTCTGTGGTTCCCATGTACAATCATTCCTCAGTATCTGTAGGGGATTGTTCCAGGACCCCCTCAGATATCCAAGCCTGTGGATGCTCAGGTCCCTTATGTAAAGTACTATAGTATTTGCATATGACCTACATTTGCATATAGGCTACAGCAAGGTATGCCTAGCACTTTAGTTATGTGGAATCAGTGTTGTGCTCAGTGCATGGCAAATCCGAGTTTCATTTTTTGGAACTTTGTGGGATTTTTTCCCCCTGAGTATTTTCAATCCGTGGTTGAATTTGAGGATGTGAAATCCATGGATATGAAACTCATGAATATGGGTAGCTGACTATCTTCTACTTTAAAAGGAACTAAAAAGTATAGCATGTCGAAATAGCACTCTACTGGCATGTTTCGGTGTAAATACTGTATAAGGATCAAATTGTAGTGGGAGCCGTTCATTAGCTATTGATTAGGGGACCAAAGAAAGTAATGTTAGAGATGCCAGAGAGTCAGGGCTTCCCATTCTCAGCACTGTTGACATTTGTTGGGGCAGGGGGGGCTGCCCTGTGCACTGTGGCATGTTTAGCAGCATCCATGGCCTCTACCCAGTCAATGCCAGTAGTGCCTCCTCCACAGTCATGACAGTCAAAAATGTCCTCAGATATTGCCAAATGTTCCTTGAGTGGAAAAATTGCCCCTGGTTGAGAACCACTCCTGGAGGAACACAGTGATTTAATCTTGTTGTGACTTTCCCTAGGATTGTATTTTAATCATGCAGCCTTATTTTGCTATAGCTTCCCTACCTGTAAAATAGACACAGTATTAATAACACAGTAGCCTAAGAAAGTGATGTACAAAGATTACTGTGTGACTACTTGGGGGCTCTATAAATGCTAAGAAACAACACCTGGCTCCCCAAATTTCCAGGACCCAAGGATCCCTGTTAATCCTTGTGAAGGCAGTAATTGGGGAACAGTGGAGTCTGAAGAGGGCAGAAGGTTAGTGGTGTGGGAGATGATGAACAGTTCTGGATTCTGATTTCATTTGAAGGCTATCTGTTCTAGTTGATTACAACAGTATATTCTGGTTGAAGGCTTTCTTTTGGAAAGTTAAGAAATGGGAGAGTGGAGGAGACAGAAAGAAGGCTATTCAGAAGAGCAGTCAAGGAAATTACATTTGACGGGTTTTCTTGTAATGTTAGAGAGACTCGTGTATAAGTGGAACAAAGGACATAGAGAAGTAAACCACAGAAGAAAAATATCCTCCCAGATGATTACGGATCCTAGAATAGGTTTTGCAGGTTATACAGTAAAAACCCGAGACTGTTTGGAGAAATCTGTTTTTATTCTAGAACTTTTACATTTGTTTCGTCTCTTCTTTGGGTATCTTCAACATATGCCCTTTGAATGATAAATAACATGTTTTAATATGACATGTGTTCTTTTGATACTCTTATATTACTCTGTTGGAATGGGGAAAGAGGCCATAACCCCGGCCTAGACCTGAAGTATTATGTTATTTTCATAGAAAACCCCAGTTGGACTCTAAGACAGGGCCAGAGAAGGAATTAGATGTAAACTGTCCTGGCAGGTTTGAACTTAGCCGTGCTGAGATTCTGGTCCCTCTATTTGTTAGACACACTCACAAAATTTACAACAAATGCACTCTGTCATGGATCTAATGTGTGGAGAAGCCGTCTTAAACAGTCTTGTTTACTTACACTCAGAGTCATAGATTTTAAGCAGACCTCGTAAGAATGTTGAAGTAGGTTCTGTGTACCTTGAAGAGGCACTTGTGTATAGCAGAAAGGTGATAGGTGAAAGATGCTCCAGTTTGATAGAGGTAGGCTGGCGTTTGAATGTTAACTGTTTATTCTGGTGCTACTCAGAGTTTGGCCTAGACTGTTAGCATCAGAGTCACCTGGGCCCTTGTTCAAGGTGTTCAGGCCTATTGGGTCAGAACCTCTGGGACTGAGCCCAGCACTCTGTGCTTTAACAAGATCTCCAGGTTATTCCGGTAGGTGCAGAAAGTTGAGAAGTGCTGCTCTCGTGGTTTCTGTTGTAGTGACATCTTAATGAATTGTTTGTGGCAGGAAGGGAACTGAGAAAGTATTTTTCCAGGCGGTCAGAAGATATGTAAGATTTTCTTGTGATAACCTCTTAGATCATTTCCCCAATCCATGGTCTAAGCCATTTCCTGCATCATCCAAGACAGGAACCACTAGCCACATGGGTCTACAGTGGTGCTTCGGTTTTCAAATGTACTCCATTCCGGAAGACCGTTCGAGTTCTGAAACGTTCGAAAACCGAGGGATCCACAGCCGACAGCTAGGCCTCGGGATCTTGCCCTCAGCAGAAGCTGTGTGGCATGTTCGACTTCCTACCGAGGCATGTTTGAAAACCGAAGCATTTACTTGCGCAGGTTTACAGTGTTTGTAAACTGAAATGTTCATCAATGGAGACGTTCAACAACCGAGGTACCACTGTATTTATATTTAAATTAATTACAATTTAATAAAATTAGAAATTTAGTCCTTCATTTGCACTAGCCACAGTTCAAGGTGCTCTGTAGCCATGTGTGGTTTGTACTACCATATTAGACAGTGTAGACACAAAGCACATTCATAATCAGGGGAAGATCACTGGACAGCTTTGCTTTAGTCTGTAAGGATCTTGTTTTTTGGAAACCCACATTTGTAATGATAGTGTGCTCTTGTTAGAACAAGGCCTCAGTTCATTTCAAACAGAACTGCATTTTGGATAGCACCATCCTGGGGAGCCTTTCAGTCTATGAGTGTGTCTTGCTGAACCTTTTACCTTGCTCTGCAGCATCTGTGTGTTACAGAAAGTGCCAGGAGCCTGTCTCTCTGACATAATCAAGTGTAGTGCCTCTAAAGTATTTGCCCTTTAATCTGAGGCTACTGAACTGTCTCTTTCCATGTGGTCTCTCCCCACCCTGACCCTTGGTGGTGAAGCTTGTGTAGTGTGTCCCTCCTAATACTGCCTAGAGCTTAACAAAGAGTCTGGGAGAGGTGGCAGGAGAATTTTCACTTCCCCTTTTTCCAAGTCCCAGTGTAGCTCTGAAACGTGTTTCATAAGAGAGTATTAATTCAGTAGAGTAACCTCTGAGGAGTTATCCTGTAAGGAATTAGTCTCTAAAGCAAATTTTCCAACAGACATATTACAGCACAAATTTAGTAATTAAGCCCTTGAGCAACATGGAAGAATATCTAGTTGATATTATCTATTATTATTACCAATATTAGTTGCTCAGAAACCATGGTAATTAGAACAGATGAAAAGATGTGGAAATGAAGACAATTTGTAAAAGATGTCATTTAAATTTACCTGAGCCTGAGATTGTTTTGCATGGTAGAGGGAATGAGAATAAGAAGTTTGTGTGCCATGAGTGTTGTTGCTGGAGGTGAAGGCCGGGGTGGCTGGAGGCCGAGGCTGAGGCTGGTCTTTGGACAGCCTCTGCAGGCCAGCCTCACTTCTGATGGGGCGTGCTGTGTGTGCTCTTACTGCCCTCCTCTCTTCAGTTTACCTTTCTTTCCTGGTTTTGTCTGCCCTGAATGAGGGGGCTTGGTGTTTCTCAAGGGTGGTGCTGTTAGCATTTTGATAGAATAGGTCATCATTTGATGGACTGGCTTACCATCCTGTGGAACTTTCCTGTCCATTACAGGACGCTTAGCATCCCTGGTCACTAAATGCCCATATTACTTTAACCAAGTCAGAAGTCAA